TTCAACTGTCTTGGCTTGGAAGACGGGGCTTCGTGACCTAATTAAGGCTAATTAATGATCAGAGAGCATTCGCGCGAGAGAGACGCAGGTGCGTCGCGGGCGCGAGCGGCCTTGATTGAGTCACAAAGCCCCGCCTTCCAGAAGCCAAGCCAGTTGAATCAAAGATTACATGCCACACGTGGAAAATCCAACTTTTGAATTTTTGAAAATTTTCCGAATAATTTTTGGCAAATTTGCAACTTGCGTTATTGAACAGCCTACACTTCCAAACTTCCCTCATATTAGTACTAGTGTCCCTAGGAATCCAACAAAATCTGAGGGCATGAAAAATAAAATGAGAGAATTTTCAAACGAAAGAAAAAATGGAGATTTGAGTTCCGTCACAAAATTGCCTTAATATTTACTGTTCATACCAGTAAAGATGGAAATGATGCCAATAGATATTCCTTTGTCAGTTGCTCATATGTGCCAATTATAAGACTTTGTCAAAGTTTCTAGAGTTTTTCAGAAGAAAATGAAAAAAGTGTCGCAAATTATGTTACGTCCTAATATTTGGCGTCAACTTTCGTGGCTCAGCTGCATGCGGGCACTTCGTTGAAAATTGATTTTCTTGCTTAAAGCGTGGCTATTGCCACTCATACGAGCTTATGAAAATATTTCTGTTTTGATCTGCGTGCAGAATGAAAAAGCCAGGTAAATGAGAATTTCGAGATTTCTATCAGCATGTTAAAGTACAAATGAACTTTCGTCAACTAGTGTAGATTGCTGGTTTGGAATTTTAATTCTCTAATTGATCCTCCGAGTTCTTACATCAGATGAACTTGTTTCGCATGATTATGATGACTGTTTGACTACTGTTTGAGAAAAGAAGTACTCTCTTCAAAAGGCAACAACCGCGATGGCGGATAAGGTGGCTTGACCAGCGACTTTCAACATCTCAAGATTAGCAGACAACTCTGATTGTTTGAATAACTAGAAGTTGTGCACCCTGCTTGAGTCGATCTACCTTTAGTGGCCCAGATGCAATACCGCTCGCAGTTTGTGCCAAAAGGTCACCACACACCGCTGGAGTTCGTCGAACAACTTTGGTTTCATCGCTAGATCTTGCTTCGCAGTGGAAGAATTCTCAAGCCATTCAACTCAGTTCGACGAAATGCATCTTTTGGTATATAGAATTGCCGGCGGGCACAACAGTCGGTGGGACCCTTCCAAATTTTTGCTTCGGTACGTTGGTCGTTTTGCAATGACTTAATACTTTGAGTAACCTACCGTGGGGCAAGAATCTGAAAGGATGATTAAAATTTGACCGACTTTAAAAACTTGTTATGGCAACAAAGGCTTGAAGCCAGTGTCTTGCCAAAATTTCGTTTTTCAGATTTTCAACTTTTGGAGCCTTCTCGGCGATAAGGAACCCATATCTTGCCGCATGAAAATGGCGAAAATGAGCTTTTCCAAAGCTTTCCATTACGTTCAGTGGAGAAGTGGACGGGGCCCGGAATGAGAGAGGTGGGGCGCGGCTTTTTTCGGCGTATTTTCTCTGAATGCAGACATTGAAAGCTTCGGAAAAAGCACATTTCCGCCATTTTCATGCACTGAAAAGCTCAGAAATGGATTCCTCATGGCGAGAAGGTTCCGAAACGGTGAGAAACTCGAAATCGAAATTCTGCCACTGCCTTTAAGAATCGGAAAGGGTTAATGTCTTTTTACATTTCAAAATGCACAGTACAAGATCCTGATTTTTGCACTATAGAACTACAGATTCGTTGAACGTCTATGACAGAAATAGAGGAACAATAAATCTGATTATTGAATTGAATGTGATTACTATCAACTACTTACTGAAGAAGTTACATGCTTACTCTTTGGTATTATGTCGGTTTCAAGATGAAATGATGTTGCTCTCATGTTATTCCGTAGAATAAGCACTCGAAAGACTGAACGGACCATCGAGAAAAGCATTCTCTACATGTAATCAAGATGGCAGTAAACATCAGCCGTTTAGTTCAATCGCCAAATCTAATATTTTTTCAACTAAGGCACTCAGAGGGATACAATTTTGTAATTGAAGTTTACAGTTTTGTATTGCATAATCACATATGTAGAAGAAGAACTGTTTGCACCTTTTGATTTTTATTTATGTTTTTTCTTGAACTAAAACACAAAACTATACCCTAACTCCACGCGTAAAAGGCGCGGGAAATTTTTTTCATAAAATCGAGCAGTCCAAACGAACCGAAGGACTTCGCGACGAGAGGACCCTATACCGTACTGCATATTGCTGAGAAATTGTGCGGTTTAGGGATCGCTCTCCGGAACATATGAAGCGGCTGAGCGGCTTGCTTGAAAATTCGAGAGGTGCACCTTATATTGAAGTTAGGGTAAGAGCTACGCATACAAATTTGTACTATTATATGTTGATTCAATACAATAGCAATACGGAGTTTACGGAAAAAAGGTGGTGATTCTGACTGAAACAATAGCAGCAAACTCGAACCGATTCCTCTCTGCCACCAGCAAGTTGAAGGCGGACCAAGTTCCAAGTAGACAGCAACGCATCTATGGGTTGTTTCATAATGCCGCACTGACTGCAGCAGTCTGCAATGACCGCAGCAGACTGCAGCTGACCGCACTGACCGCAACGACCGCAGTGGCTGTAGCATGCAGGCGGAGAGGATAAATAGTTGTGGTTTAAACAAACAACAGCAATTATACGTAAAAGCAAAAGACAACACGGTTTAGAATGTTACAAAACAGGTATATGCAATGATAGGAGGAATTAGAACAAATACGAACATACAAAAGAAAACTATCGCCAAAATTTGATTGAGAAGAATTCTGATGGAATTATGATCTTCTTATGCGTAAATCACGGTGTTTTGGTAATCGCGGTTGTTTTCTTTAATGAAAAGAGGCTGCGACCGGTGCGGTCAGTGCGGTCAGCTGCAGTCAGCTGCAGTCTGCTGCAGTCTGCTGCAGTCTGCTGCAGTCAGTGCGGCAGTCTGAAACAACCCTATGTAGAGTTATAGCGCAAACGCCAAAAAAAAGAATCGAGGACGAACTGTGCACGAATAATTGAGGAACCATCTATTGTGAACATTATAAAAGCAGGTCTGGAAGTTTCCAATTTTGGGTATCACTCCGCCTCTTCCATAAATATGAATGCGTAAGTACGTGGAACTGGAACTGCCAGCAAGCTTATTATCATCACCTACATAGACCAATGTTATATCGTTTAAATTTTACGTATATGTGGACTACCATGGCGAACTTTCAGAATCCCTTGATGCCACTTCTTTTCTCTTCTTTCTTTCCCTTCTCTAAATAAGCAATCTGTGTTTCCACTTACTATTTTATATTATTTTGGTGCACCTCGAGTGTAATAGATAAAGATAAAGATAAGCAGAGAGGGGTTACAGCTTTGAGTGATGTTACTAGTGCATTGACGAGATATGAGAGCCTTTATATCAATCATGTCTTTTGTTTTTCGTTCTTTCTCCATTCCAAACTTTGTGGAATCTTGTTTTTGCTCAAATCTTCAAAGCTGGAAAAGGCAAAATGCTTAATAGAACCTAGTTGAGTATTGCACGTTACCAGGTACAATTTTGTTTGTTCTTCACCTAATGTTCGATTTGACAAATCATGTTGATTGCCTTTCCCGCTATTCATTTTAGTGAAGTGATTGCTGGACGGCTATCCAAAATGAGTTAAAGCAGTTTCGCGTTCAAGCTGCTCGTTCATGACTGTTTAGCTGTGCGTGCAAGACGGCTAGAATTTTGGTCGTATTTGATGGTTTGTAGGAAGGCTACAAATGATTTATGTATGAATATTTAGTACCGTTGGAAGCAAATCAAGGAAGATCGGGTGTTAATTCCGTTTTCTCGGAACTTATTTTATGATTACGAAATGATACAGAAAAGCAGAATAGTCACATTTTCGGAAAATCATGTTACGAAAATGAACTGAATTTTGGTATAAAATGTACATTTGGTACCAAGACAACAAATCTCAAATCCCGACCACTAGCACGACGACCATAGAGTCAAATTCAAACGATCTGGATTACCCAAAAACTGACTTTCACTCGCAAATGCCTAGAGATTCTCATATTTTTGGCTGCAAAGATTCATAAAGGCAAAAACAATCTTAAGTGTGGTTTGCCATGTAGCCAAACGGTGTATGTATTCAGTCACCAAATTACCTGTTTCTATGCTCATTACAGGCTGAACAAAACTTGGAATTTCAAAAAACTGATTTTTTTGATAAGAGAATCATATAACTTCCAATTATTGATGACTCTAAAATTTGATTATATGATGTGTGATACTGATGGCATAAAACTACCTTCTCACAAGAAAATTCAGCCAAGTGATATAAGTTAGTCTAATTACTATGAAGTTGAAGTTGCATGTCAAAACGAATCTAATTACTATTCAACCTAAAATAAATGTACGTGAAACTTGCATCAAGCTTCTTCTCCTGAATAACTCTGCCGCAGGTACCCATGACAATTATCTTATTTTATGTGTAAACCTGAAAATTACTGGGAATGGTGCAGCGCATGTTATGATCTCAGTCAGATCACCTTGATATAAGGTGTGCTAGCATTTTGATTTGCATCTTTTTAATGATCACTGTCTAGCTTTTGAATACTAACAATCCTAGCATAAAAGCTAACTTGTGGAAATCAGAAATGTAAGCGTGCACGAGAGGTGCATTGGATTCGTGCAAATAATCATATTCTAGCAAGCAAGTGCAGTTTCACCACGCGTTTGAGGGCTTTTGTTTCGACCAAAATAGAAGCAGAGACTTATTGTCGTTTATTGTCCCCCTTTTCCAACACAACGCGTTATTACTCCGTAGCCTTTAGCACAATGTAACAGCAAAATTTACAAGTGTATATGTACTAGATTTGATCATCATTAATGGGCGAAGATCAATGTTTTCAATGTTTTGAAACAGTATAAAAGTCAAAGAAATCAAGAAAATTCCAATCAAGTCACATGTCGCAACTTTTCAATCTCGCTACCGTATGTTCCTAGCCCATTATTTCTTTGATGTAAATCATTACAAATTTTTCCAGCCGCTGTTGCTCTTGGCGCTCTGTGTATATGCCACGACATCCTTAACAGCCCATCGAAGACTGGCTTCCGAAGGCACCCAAAAGCTGATCCATGCTATCGAAAAGTTATCGAAAAATTTTGTAAGTTTAATTATATTTTCACCTCTATTAGTAGACTCCATTAAAGCAATAAAGGTTTTGGCTTATATAATGTGCTATATTTCAGCATCATAAAGTTGTCCATGATGGTTATGCAAAGAAATATTTGAAGAAGTTGAACATAAGTGTCGCAGCAGCAAATCAACTAGTCAGAAAAAATAATCTTACCGCGCTCCTATATGGCTCAGAAGGCCCGCACGATCCTGTCAATGCGCTCGACGACTGGGGACATACTCTTGAAAAAGTAGGTCGTACGTTGCTCGTTGCAGATGTTACAGATATTGAATGAAGTATTTCAGTTCATAATGGCCAATAGAAGATTAACCGCATTTGGATGCCACGGTCATCACCACAAAGGTACCAAGTGGTTCGAATACGCGTGCGTATTCGACGCATTATAACGGACCACACTATCCATAACTTTTAGATTGTAATATTTGTGTTGTGGTATTGTGTAGTTAGTTAAGCAATTTAATAGTATTATTTTGTTGTTTTTGTTATCATTAGGCAATTCAATAAAACTTAGATGTGTAGATCACTCATTTCAAGACTGGTGTCCATCATTCCGTAAATAAACAGTATTAAGTTGTCCCAAGGGCAAACTCCATTTTGATAAATTGAGCTATTTTTGTTTTCCTAATAGTTAGGATACCATTTGATACAGCGTAGCAAGCTCTACAAAAAGATCGCCAAAGATTTATCTAAGTCGTGATCCAGGTAAAATTTGGATCCAAAAATCAAGTTTTTTTTAGCCACTTGAAATATCGGATCTTCTTCCAGAAAAGTCCTCCAGATTTCCGACTTTGTCCCTATACAGTAATAATACCCAAAATGTATTTTTTTGCATTTTTATACGGAGTTCAAAACTGAAAAACAAAGTTAGTATCTTATATATAAAGCTGAATGTCTGTTTGTCTGTATGTATGTATGTATGTATGTATGTGTGTACGTATGTTCCGAATAGAAAATTCCATTTCTGAACCGATCCGGACCAAACTTGGCACACATACACTTCGGTCCCCGGCGGGTGTCATAGGCTACTTTTCGTCATCGATCGATATCGATTTTATCGATTTTTTGCAAAGTTTGAGCTAGGGGGCTGGGAGTTGGCACAGGGGGGTAATCGAGCATGCTGATCATTCCCAAGGGGGGTGATCAGCATGCTCGATTACACCCCTGTGCCAAATTCCAGCCCCCTAGCTCAAATTTTCAAAAAATCGATAAAATCAATAAAAGTAATCGATAACTCTGAAAACTAATATTGTATTCGGAATCCCCATGCTCACTTTACCCCCCCCCCCCTGTGCCAACTCCTAGCCCTGTAGGTGAACTCTGCAAAAAATCGATAAAAATTGGTAAAATCGACATCGATCGATAACGAAAAGTGGACTGTGACACCCGCCGGGGCCCGAAGTGTATGTGTGCCAAGTTTGGTCCGGATACGGCGGAGCCGGGTAAGCCAGCTAGTACTACATATGCATGATATATGTGGGAGGGGCATGGAGGGGGTTGCCATTTCCATATTATTTTTATTTTCTCGCTTTCTGTGAGCAGAAACAGCCCAGCAAAGGCAAATGAGTCTATGTGCCTACCATACAACGACCACGTTGACGGTCCGTATATTGCAAAAATCCAGTTCAGAAGGCAAAATTTTTCGATTTTAGTTTCAAATTTTACGTGGAATGCATTTGGGCGGATCCTTGATAATCTTCTTTTAGAGTTTCATCTGCTTTATTCGAATGATACCCTAACACTAAGAAAACAACAAGTGCTTGAATTAATTCAGAGAAGGGGTTTACTTTTGGGACAACTTACGATTTCTTGCAAAGAAATGGTAAGTTGTCCCACAAGTATCGTCGCTATCGTCATCGCTACCACAATTTTGTTAACTTAATGCCTTTCATTCTTTTATAGCCATCGTAGGTGAAACCTTTCTTCATTTAAAAAAGAGACATATGTTAGTGCATCATTTGAGTGATTATGCCTAAACCCGAAAAAGTGCTTAGCTAATTCACCTATCAGCGATTCTCCTTTTAGTTTATTGCTCAAAAGAAATAAGGAACTTGGCAGGGTATGAATATTGGTGAGTAAATGTTAGGTTGAAATAAATGTTTATTAGAACCGCTTTTGGAAAATTGTGACTTTTATCTCAATGATTTTGTTACTGACAAATAAATAGGTCGGCCTAAAAGTTTTAGTTTTTTGAACCCACCGACAAATACGGTAGAATAAAAAAAAATAAACATTCTAAGCTGCGTCCAATTATATCTTTCTCTTTTCAGCTACTCTATTCACAGCTTGATTCTTCGAAAGAGCGCCGATATACCAATGTCCAGTCTTCGCTAGTTTCAAGATTTATATTCGACACTAATGTAATGGGTGGTAATGGTCAGCAGAAAGGTAGGCAACTGACGCAATTTTCTTTTCAGCTACTCTTCAAAAATTTGCTAAATAATTCCAACTTTAAGTTCTACAAAAGACGCATAACTTGTTTGCACCAACACTGCAAAATCTTTAGAATACTAAAGTTTCCATACTAGATTCTTACTACTACTTACTCCTTACAAAGTATTAGGTTGTCGAATATTTGGTTACATTTTTTATTTTAATCATCAAAAAACTCAGAAGCTTTGGAAAGATCTCATGCTCACGACTTATGGACAAAATCAAAAGCTATTCATCGGAACCTTCGCATCCGCGACCGTGCGCAAAACACCCACTTTGTGGCTGAAAATCTTGTTCTCATTGTAGACGTTGGCATTCTTCATAATGATGAGAGAGAGACTTGACGATGTGGTACTTAAGCAGTGCAAAGTCCGCAGAAAATAGCAAATATGAGGTGGAAGACACAGATAACGCTTAGATAAAGGTGTCTAGACACCTTTATCTAAGCGGTTCAAATGTCAATGTGCATCATCTTGCAATCCTCGACATTCTAATAAAAATAACGTTTTCGAAAAATTCGAAAAATTTGAGCTTTATGTATTCATTTGTGCACTATGCACATAAAAAAAAAGAATTTAGGAAAATTTTGAATTTTTTCCATGTTTCCACCTCTTGCCATCGAAACGCTAGAGACACCGAAATGCCTCCATGTAAGAAGCAAGCCAATATACATTCAAAATTATGTTAGGGAAAAAAGTAAGTGACAAAAAGTAGACAAAATCAGAGAAAAATTCAAAAATTTGACTGTATTTGCAAAATTTTTGTAAACTTGTTGGTCAATTGTGCATTTGCGTCATTAAACAGCTGGTGGATAGAGATTCTATGTCCTGGGCATGAAGCAAAATTAGTGATTTCTGGAAACTGCTGGAAGTTTCCAGAAAAACCAAAAGTGTAACAGGAATTATTCAACGACCTATGTACTAAATGAGCGATTTTCGTTTCCAAATTTGAAATTCTAAAATTTAGGGTACGTCCTTTGCACTCCTGAAATTGTGACGTACTGCAGTTTTCATCGCAAAGTTCGCTCTCGTCAAGAAAAGACAACAGCTAGGAAGAAGAGAGCTGCACCGAATGATACCTTAATTTTTTACCACTTTATGTTCTACAATGTTAGAATATGCCGGGTATAAGATTTTGGCTACCAAGAAATAAAATCTAGAAGTTCTGAAGGATAGGAACAAAAAAATCTCAGGAACTTGCAGATAGGTTTGCTCTGTTGCTGGCTATCAATGCTTCGAAGAAGTTCCAAATAAAAATTTTGAAAATTAACGAAACATGGTTAAACGAAGAGTTGTGATATTCAGCGATAACCTCGGCACTCTCAATGAACCACAGTTTGGATATGGCCGAGGAAAACATTCTGCATCGGATACAACTTGAAGTATTCGTTTATATTTACTGTACGGAGCTTTGTTGTTATCTTAAGAAATTTTCAAAACTTTTGGATTGACCTACACATCACATCACTGACTGATTTTTCTCAAAATTCTTTTTTTCGTTGTTTTCGTGAAAAATCTAAGATCTTATAGAAGACCTGATATTTTGAAAAACAAAACTTTACAAAAGAACTCCTACTGCCGAGTCAACGTAGAATTGGCAAAAATCTCGTAATTGGGCTTTTTCTTCATTTGGAAGTATCAATGCTAAGCAACAGAAACCTTCAAAATAAATCTTGTGAATTTTAGTAAAGATCTAAACAAAAGATCTCACTAAACTCATGCCAAATTGAGACCACAGAAAAAAATGCCATGGCTTTTGAGCAATGACGATCTAAGGAAACTGTGCAACTTTTGCTATAAATAGGTACAGATTACGATGTTTAGTGTTGTTCTTCACACGGGCATCGCTTGTCGACTTGACTCTGTATCAACTAACAGCAAAATTTTGCTCTGCAGCCATTCAAAATTTTGTGCATCACTTAATCAAAAATTGATGCATGTAGTGTTCTTCTGCATGGCTTTGCAGACTCCTTCAATGTTTGCGCCCTTCCATGCAAACTCACCATGTCGGACCAGAGAAAATTAGTATGTTACTTTCATTTAGTTAGCTTTAAAAATAGTAAAAACGTTTATTCATAAGTGGTTTCAGCGATTAAGCTGTAGACAGCGCTTGCATGAAAGTTTACGCAAAGACACAAGCGATTTCATTTCCTTTGTACAAGTTGTACTGATAATTGCAGCCAACACTGCTCTTGCCGTCGTTATGCTAGAATGAAAAAATTATGCAATAAATATTTTATATTTCCATGCAGAACTTACCGCTGCGAGGTCGTTATGTAAATTATCAAACGCATAGAGCACCAAATTCTCGAATTTGTCATTGATGTTAATTCTGTAACACAGTACACCTCTGTATAATACTAATGACTTGGGAAAAGCATTGCAGAGCTAGTACCTTGTAATCGATGCATTACCAAGTTTCAGATTTGAGTGATCTTTTTTTACCTGCTCGAAATTTTCACTTTCGATAAAGTCAAGAGCTGCGCCTTCAAGTTCGCATTGATAGAACTAAAAAAAAGCTTTGAACATAAACTTAGAAGCTCATGACAACTTACAAGAGACGGATACTGCTCCTTAATTTGCTTTCTAAAAATTGCGCGGTGATTGTCTTCCAGATGCACACATCTCTCATCGTGGAGCCCATTTGCGACCGACACGATGATGAACTGAAGCAAGTAAACGAAAAAAGGGTCGACGAATTTCGTAACCTTACCGCAATAGACAAACGAATGAGAGTAGCCATGGCTATGATGCTGACATACCTGCTCATTATCCCCTCTTTTTTATATACCTTTTCCAATAATTTCTGATAAACATTCAATTCCCGCCAAATATTTGAGCAGCTCATTACTTTTTCTTCCTTTTGTGCAGACAAAGACAGCCATGGTTTTGTTTCTAAAGTATAAGTTTAGAAACGTTAAAGTATAGTTTCAGCCCAAGGTACTAAAGACAATAGGAACTATCAAATCCACATTCTATGCTTTTGTTATTTTTGTTATAAACAAAACTAGCGGGTGCATAAATATGTATCTTTGACAGTGCAAAAATACAGTGCTTTTTGGAATTATTTCCTTGTTGACAGCTGCACAAGCATAAAGACTAAGAGTTAGAATTTGTGCACTTTTCAAAATATATTTTTGTATAGTAAGCGTCCAAAAATAAACGCTGCTTGGATAACGCCTCAGTATATCCATTATTTCATTAATGCATCAAGCCTTGATTGCGCAGGCTGAAAAATTATGTAGAGGTTTTTTTAACTCTTTCTTGTAATGGATTTTGATAGTTTCATTACAAAGAGATTTCCTTAGGAAGAAGGAAGAAGGAAGAAGAAAGAAGAAGATGAAGAAGGAAGAGAAGGAGAAGGAAGAAGAAGGAGAAGAAGAAGGACAAGAAGGACAAGCTCTTTAAAGGGTGGGTTGTACGTTTCTCGTTTTACAGATGTTACAGATTGTCAATGAAGTATGTTCTTCAAAGGACTCAATACACTAGTCGGATTTGGATGCCAAGGTCCTTACCAAAAATCCTATAATCTTTCTGATTACTTGTGCGTATTCGACGATATACAGGGTGTCCCAAAACTTGTAGCCTAATGTTACACTGCTTTAACTCAACTATCACTGGTGATTTTGATCTCAATCTTCGTAAACTACATCCTTTTGGTTAAAACATGATCTTCATGTTTGTTTGAAAAAAATAAAATTATCAAACCATTTCTACCTCGAAACGCAAAAAGCTATTTCCTAAAAGTATAAAATTTATTCCGCTACCGCAAATTTGGCACACCGCGGTGCAAGTTTATATCCACAATATAGAGGAGGTTTTGCACTAACATCACTATAATGGCTGCATTCAAAAATCTATTAGGTTGGCACATAAGCAATGCAACTCTTTATATAACTTTTGTCTATTTGAACGTAGCGCATTCAATTTTGGCAATATAAGGAATATGATGTAAGCTTCTAATGCACACATTTTTGCCGAATTTCACCATCTTATGTGAGGACGGTAGGTTTACGGTACTATGGGAAAAATTTTACAATGCATCAGATTTTGCTGAAACTTGGCCTATAGGGCTTACTTGACATGCTGATCACAAAAATGAGATCCGTTTCGCATGAAAAAGCTTCGTTCGTGAGATCAAAAGATGAATTTAATTTTAGCGACAAATGAATATGATATTCGTGTCTACCGCATAGGATTACCCTATAGTGCAAAGTCATAGCAAGTTCTGACTTTTCGCAGCTTAGTTATTGACAAATTGCCTTTAAAACTTGACGCATTTGACTTGTTCAACTTCTCAAAGGCGCCCCACCTTAATTTGTGCTTAAATTTCATTTCTTTTTCACTGATTCCAAAGTGCCAACTTCCAGCTACATGCTGCCTATAATTGCTTTTTCATATGTTTGAATCAGATTCGTAGGGCTTCATGTTTGCCAATAAATCGTGAAACCTCGATTTGCAGCAGTTTTCAAAAAATGCTTAGATTTTTTGTACTACGTTATCAAAAATCAAACGATTTGCGAAGAATTGCAGCTTACATCACGGTCTACATGATGCCACAAAATGAGATTGCTACATAAAATAGGAAAAAAGTTACGGGAAAAGTTGCAAAACTTATGTGTCAACCTGATATTTCGTCAAGAGAGGCGAGAAATTATCTGGAAATTTTCAATGCGTGTCAGGTGCGACGCGAGAATCTCGTGTAGACGTTGTCCTCCGGCTCGCAGAAAGTCAACGGAAAGACGGTCTGGTCCTGGAGCCGTGGACGTCTTCATGGTCTGAATCGCCGTGCGCACTTCAGCAGGTAGAATTCGTGGGGTACTTCTCTAGTGAAAACAACGGGCGGCACGGGTGTTGATGAGCGGAAGAGGTTGGTATAGAAGTTCTTCGCGATAGATTCCATCTTGTATCGGGAAGAAGTAGGAGTCCCGTCTTCGTTCAATAGTGCAGCCAGCGGTACGTGATATTCATAAAGGACCCCTCGGCATTTCTTAAGACTTCGTCTTCTTTCGGCAGCTTCCAGTATCTTGGCTTGCCTGTACTTCCTGAGATCCTCCTGCATAGCTGTTCTGCAACTGGCGTTGACTACCAGTCGCTCGAGGGTTGCATTCGGATCTTGCCTTAGAAATCTTCTTCTTTCGAGCAGTTCCTTGATAGTCTTCGAAATACGTTCCAAGTTCTTCTCAGAAGTCACTGAGGCACATTCTCCGCAGGCTCGCAATCCTTTCAGAAGCCGGTCGTAGTCGTACGTTAGGTCCTCCTCGATGGGCCAGTTACATCTTGATATGAGCTTCTCCAGCCTGTTACCGTCATGAAAGACTTCATTCCTTCTCGCGGCACTGTGACAGACTTTCTTTTCCAGCCTTCGGCTGAGTCGTATCCTCGCTCAAAGGAGGCGGTGATCGGAGCCACTGCAGAAGGATGGAACTACTGAGACATCGAGCAAGCTCTACCTTCGGTTGGTGAGAATGTGGTCTATCTCCGCGTGAGTCGTTCCGTTGGGCGATTCCCATGTCCACCGGCGATGTTCTTTCTTCATGAAGATGGAATTTCCATGGAAGAGTCGTGCGGCGGAGAGAAGCCCAGCGAGACGGTTGCCGTTTTCGTTCCGGAGCCCATAACCAAACTTCCTGATCCTATATTCCTTTTCTAGTGGCATCCCGATTTTCGCATTGAAGTCGCCCACGACATACTTGTAGAAGGGCTTCTCGTTGCGAACGACCTCCTCCACGTCTTCGTAGAAAGCATCTAGTTCTGAGTCGTCAGCTGCTGATGATGGAGAGTAGCAGTTGATGATGCTGATAGTCTTCTGACGTGGAGGGTGTAGTCGTAGGATGGCTAATCGGGGTGATAGGATCTCGTGCGAATCGACAAGATGGACGATAGGTGGATGGACGACAAAGCCAACGCCTCCCACGTTTCGTGATGGGACCTTCTCACCACAAATGATGAGCGTCCAATCATTCATCTGTCGCACGTCCTTCTTCCTGGACTTCGTTTCCTGCAGAGCGATGATGTGGTACTTGATGTGCTCTGCAGCGTCGAGAAGAGCGTGGAGGTCGGCGTTTGTGGAGACTGTCCTGGCGTTGTAGCTGCAGAGCAAGAGGCAGTCTCCGTGGAGTGTCCTCCGGGCAGACGTGTCGTTTTTCCAATCCAAAAGGCGCCCTGAGGACCCTGACATCAGTTTTGCTACCACCGCGCCGTAGGCGGGATCCGATGTGCAGGGTTTCTTTCTATTCTTCCTGGTAGAGTAATAAAATTTTTCCCCTACAAGAGCATACTTACTAAAAGAACTCTTGATTTCCACGGGGCGATCGCTGACCCCGGGCTTGGAGCGGGGAGAACCGCCTAGCGACCTGGAAACCACACGGCGGTCGATCTGGCCTGGCCGGCTCTTATCTAGGCATCCGGCCGAAACCGGAAACGTCGAACTCCTTCACAGCTTGGGAAGCCCTGCCAGAGTATACACTCGGCTGTGCATCGCAGTTCGACACCCAGTGTCACCCCCACGCCATGATGAAGCGGCCGACCATTGTGAGGGTTAGATTTCATAGTTGGTTTTATATGTATGCATAGACTTAGCAAGCCTACTGACAGTGAAAGGTTTCTCTTTGTTTGCTGTTTTCAACTGCTTTTGTTTATAAAGATTTGCGTATGTTGATGTAACTCATTTTGGATAAGACTAAAGCAAAATCTATTATTGAGTGTTATAGCAGATCTCGAAATGCAGAGTTCCTAAAAGTGGAAAGAACTACAGCGACCTGTGAGCTTACAAGCAAATTCTGGTTTAGATTAAGCTTTTAATCAGGGGAAGTGGACGACCCGTAAAATTAAGAAACGTGGACGTGTAGGCTGCTAACAATAAGAATCTACATATAACGGTGATAAATAGCTTTTAAAGTATCTTGAGGTATACAGCGGACGGTATACACACACCAAATAAATGAATCGTTTTAAAAATAAGGCCTGTACGACATTATTATTTTGTGTACAGCTTCATCAGTCGGTTCAAACAGAGTAATGGAGTTTGCATTCATCGCTCCCTGTAAACGCCTTATACTAATCAGAGCTTTGAGTAAAGCTCGTTGTCGCTATTTTCGATTGATGCTATTTAGACTTAGTGCATTATTTCTTAACAAAATATCCATGCCCATGACAAGTGGAGCCAAATTTGTCGTTGGTCGAGGCATCGGTCAGGACTCAAATAGATAAGAAGGTCAGTATGACAAACCAGTAGGGCCAGAGTATTTTCTATTCAACAAAAGCCAACACTCAGGAATTCTTGATTATTTATAGCCATCTATAGTTTCTACTCATCATGGATGATATAGAACGATAGGTATCCGGCAGAGAGAAGTGAGTTAACTTCCAGTTGCTTAAATTCTGCCTTAGATCATACTCTCACTGTCTACTCCAAGACACTGCTCCAATATTCTTAAAGGCAGTGGCTAGGGAAAATTGCAGTTGAGCTTCCCATCCTTGCATGGGAAGCCCACAACTGCAACTTCTGGACTTCTGGATGCGCTGAGTTCATTTCTGCGTTCGAAATGACAAAAAAGTGCTTTCGTGTTTTTCTGCCCTGGAGGTAGCTGAAGGGGTCGGGCGAGGGATTCCAGCTAACATCGCAATTGGATGACTGAGCCGATCTGCCAATCACGTTAAAATGGGTGGAGTTACAATCTCCTGCAGTCGCTGTTTATGGCGGGAAGCCATGTAAGTGTGGAAAGCTCGCAGTCGCAAATTCCTCGAGCAAGTGTCTTCAATGTCTTTTTCCACATTAAAGATAATTTTATCACGAGATCGAATTATTTACAAACGTCAAACTGGCGCATTAATTTTGGAATAGAAAAACATTTGCTTACTTTTGAAATGATTCGATATCTTAAAAAATCATGTGTCTTTGGAAGGCTCAAAAATTTCCCTTCAATCTGCAGATTACATCATTACTCAAGCCCCTGATACCGCGTTGCATCTCCACTACTGTCTATAATTCTGTTAACTCATACGATTCTTACAATTAGTTCTATCACTTTCGTATGATAGTCAATCTCCCAGATTTTTGTCTTTTAGAGTAGACGTAAACGTTCCCTAAATGGCTTCTATATCCAGCTGGATGTATCGTTGACACTAACACTATCAAGCTTCAATGTCATAAGCGTAGTAATTTAGCTTTCGACGATTATCTACAGCTGGCAGCTATGTTTTCAAAGATAATCGCTTTGTACCTTACAAACGAAATCAAAACAACAGAGCATGTATATATTGCTACACGGCAAAGGATCCTAGATCTTTGCAAATTGTGAGATCCACGGAGTAGGTTCCTCGCGTTGCAAGATTCCGTCGGAACTTTAAGGGAGACGAGTTGATGTGATCGTAGAACATAGACTGGCTATGAGCGAACATGACAAAACTGTAGATTTTTCTATTTCAAGAACTCTTAAATCACTGAAGGCAAGGAAGGTTGGTCGAAGTGGCCCTTCGAAATGAGGTGTAAACTGTCTTGTAGCGCTTGGAATGCTGATTCCAAATCTGCCTTCCCGCTGCGGGCTTCTGGGAGAGGAGCTATGAAGGTTTTTGTGAGTAAAAAGTTGAATGCAAGATTAGTGTAAAATCAGTCGCATCCTATTTTCAAAAGCTTGACTGGTGGTCGGGTCACTCAGTGCAACAAATATTTTTAATTCAAATCTATCAACTCGTTGCTGCCTTATTTGAACGTTAGGGAAGAGCTAATGGCTGATTTTTTACTAATTTTACATTCAAAATCTTATCCACAAAAACCTCCATAATTCCGCGCCTAGAAGCCCGCAGCAGATAGCATAGGTGGATTTGGAATCAGCGTTTTAAGCTTTACAAAACAGTGTACATCTCATATCAAAAGGCCACTTCGATCAACCTTCCTTTCCTTGAGAGTACGCAATTATTGAAGCATATTCGTTTGAATAAAAAAGGCAGACTTTGTGTGCCTATGTACTGTTGTGAGCTGTTTAGCGCTAAGGCCAGAGTAAAGCAATCTACAAAATGGCCTAGAGGTTCTACACGCACACGTTTTCTACATCAGACAATTGTATGCACATTTTCGTGATTTTCCCATGGTTAGAAGTCGAAAAATCAAAAATTTGGCATTTGCCAAAGCAACCCTGAGCTTCTCCCAAATGGATAATTTTGCAGCAAAAAATTTTGGAGGTATAAATACGAAGTTTCAGATTTCCACAAGGTCAGTTCCAGAGAAAATTCGATTTCTTAGCATTAACCCGAAAATGCGACATATTCGCATTTCTGATCTATTTTTATTTTTCTCTTTCTGACCATTTAAAAATTCCACAATATACACGAGAATGTCTTCGTAAAAAGTATCATTTAAGCTTCAGAATCAAAATTTTCGCGGAGAGTCGTAATTCATCTTGCAAAGCTTGCTTTGCTCTATCAAAGGTACCTCATTCATTGTTTTTTTTTGTTATCGCTTTGTCGCGGTAGGATGCAATGCGACATTATTTTCCGTGCTACCTAACACTATACATTAGACTGTTAACTAAGTTTTGCAAACGAGTCCGTAAATTTCCGCATTTTGTTATTGGCGCGCTCAAATTTCAATACTGTATAGATGCCGTTTAAGCTATAAAATGGCACAAACTGCTCGTTTTTTGATGGGAAACTAGGAAAAATCCGCGAGCTTTCGAAAACTTGTAAAATTTAAAGATTCATGGAGTTTCAGATGAACGGCTGAAACGGCAGATGAAAATGAAGCAACTTTTTAACCCAGATCATGCACAAGAATCCGAGTGTGTACACAAACTGTTGCTAAAGGATGATTCATCTGGTGCAGTAAGGAAGAAATAGATTTCAAAGACCCAGTAACTGACAAAGTTGAACGAGCCGTTGTACGCAAAGCTGCTTGAGGACAAGCGTCGATCACTGAGGTCAAAGTTTCAGAATTCGCCAAAACTTTGCGTGGTGGGTTGTTTGCCATGCCGATTACGAATATCAAATCCATTTATCAGATAAACGCCTCCTTTCTTGTTTAGCATGAGATCACACTCCGCAAACCTACTGTGACCTTGCCAAAAAGGCCCTACCATGCAGACCCAACATCGCTTTCGTTATCGCCGTATCACATAACTCACCTATGCAAAGTATCAGCCAAATTTGTAGTAATCTATAATTTTCCCTTATACCATATACAAACCGTAATCCTCGCTGCAACGTTAGAATTTTGCAGAACTGCGGCTGCGTTTGCAACTTACTCCACGACCTACATAATGAAAAAATTTGAGCGCGTCACATGAAAAGAGAGAGGAGTTACAAAAGTAGTTGCAAGTAGTTAACATCCTAATAAATGCTGAAAGGGATTTTGCGCCATTGGTGCAGCTAGATTTGCGTTGAACTGGCAAAATAAACAACTATGGCGCTTTAGGGTGATGTCTTTTGCAGAAATCTCGATATCAATTCCTAAACATGCACCAAAAAGGAACAATACAGAGAAGATATGACTTTTGAGCAATAGCTTATGAAATGTCCCAAAAATTTGTCCCAAATTTTATGCTGCAGATTATAATACTTGATATTCTTCATTAGCACCCCCTTGTCGTTAATTCTGCTTAAACTGACAAATCAAGAAATCCATACTCTGCAATCAGGTGCTGTACTTTAGCCTATATAAATTGGTATAACGGCTTTTTTAAGACTTCTTTCGAGTCTTTTTCTATTCAGGTTTATCATGTCAGCAGAACCACTTCTAAAGAAAGCAAAACCTTTTATTCAGGTCACAACGTTGCATTGGGATTCGCAAAGACGCAAGCGATTTCATTTCCAGTTTTCAAGTTGTACTGATAATTGCAGCCAACAGCGCTTTTGGTCTTGCTATGCTAGAATGACAAAGTTTTGCGAAGAATGTAATATATTTCCATGCAGAACTTACCTCTGTGAAGTCTTTATCTAGAAGATCAAACGCATAGAGCACCAAATTCTCAAATTCGTCATCGGATTTAATCCTGTAATACAGTACACTCTGTTCAATACTGATGACTTCGGAGAAGCATTGCAATGATGATACCTTACAATCGATGTATGAGCATCAATTGGCACTAACGGGTGCACTTTTTTTACGAGATGGAAATCGTTATGTTGGATAAAATCGAGAGCTGCGCCCTCAAGTTCGCACTGATAATACTGAAAAGACAGCTTTGAGCATAAATTGAGAAGCTCATGACAACTTACAAGAGACGGATACTGCGCCTTGATTTGCTTTTCGAAAGCCTCGCGGTGACCTTTTTCTATATTCGCGCACGTGTCGTCATAGTACCCATTTGCGACCGACACGATAAGAAACTGAAACAAATAAGCGAAAAAAGGGCCAACGAATTTCGTAACCTCACCGCAACAGACAAACTAATGAGAGTAGCCATTGCTATGATACATACTTGCCCCTCATCTCCTCTTTTTTTATATACCTTTACCAATGATTTACGTAAACTTTCAGTTTCCGTCAAATATTTGAGCAGCTTGGTACTTTTTTTTCCTTTTGTGCAGACAAAGACAGCCATGGTTTTGTTTCTAAAGTAACTTCAAGCTAAGGTACTGAGGACAATAGGACCTATCAGACCCTAATATTCTATACTTTTGTTATCTTTGTTATAGACAAAAATAGCGGCTGCATAAATATGTATCTTTGACAGTGCAAAAATACAATGCTTTTTGAGATTATTTCTTTGTTAACAGCTGCACAAGCATATAGAGTAAAAGTTAAAAATCTATGCACTTTTGGAAATGTATTTTTGCATAGTAAGCATCCAAGAGTAGACGCTGATTGAATAACGCCTCAGTGTATCCATTATTTCATTGCTGCATCAAGCCTTGATTGCGCAGGTTGAAAAATTATGTAGAGAGATTTTCAACTCTTTCTCTCTTTTAATGGATTTTGATAGTTTCTCTACAAAAAGATTTGATTAGCCGCTGAAGGTGATTACGGCTCTTAATTGCTCTGCAAAACATTATCAGGAAAACATAGAATGTTGGAGAAAGCTCCTAAGCCTTCGGATTAGTGCAACCACTACTTGTCCGGCGGCCATTTTGAGTAACAAGTCTGGACGATAAATGTCTCATAGTTTGCCCTTGTTCGCATCGGAATGATTTTGCGCTTCGCAGAAAGAATTGAAATTCGGAAAAACGCAATAGAACTCGATCGAATATTTTTGTAGCTCGCTACACTGGAAGCTTAAAAGACGACTTGTCACTTGGACTTTGAAAGGTAACTTGTTTTAACTCACAAGTAAATGAGAAGCGCAACTTTCTTTTTGTAAAGAAATTCAATGGTGAAAAAAACAAGCTAGCTTTCAAAACTCTGGTTTCAACTTTTCTTTCTTGTCTATCGGTGCTCCTCTGCATTTACATACTCAAACAAACTTTCGTATTCTTCAAAAAGATATTCGAAGCAGTAATCCTTCTTTATCCCAGTGCAATCGACGCTTAGCCTTGGTCGAAGCCTGTTTAAATTTTTTTGCTCAATTTTTAAAGTGCTTATATCTACGAAAAAACGGATTTGGAGCATTCAGATCGTCCACCTTGGCTGAAGGAAGCGTAGATCTTCATATGAAAATGCGAATTGTCAAGCTTTAAGTTGTATTAACTCGCCGCTCGTATTGTCAAAAGAAACGGCGACGGCCGCCTAACTCAGGCGGAGGCTACGGTAATTGGGCAGCGGCCGTCGAGGTTAGGCGCTCGCCTCATAACTTTTCCACAGTTTCTCAAAATTTTTCTTATCTCAATTCAAGTTTTTTTTATTTTCAAATTCAAAAGGATTAGTTGACTCAGCTCGGCGAGGCGCATCTTCCAATACATAGATTTGCCCTAGTCTATGGGGATTACGGTGGGTATACACTGGCTTTTACAGAGTGAATTTTTGTTTGGATGGATTACTAAGTGGGCTGTTAGCATCTATATTGATCTGCTGTTGGTGGCACTTTGTGTGGATAATGTAGGAGTACCGAAAAAGTCACTTCGCAGAATCTGTTTGAAATCCTGCACAAAGTAGCCATTTAATGCGTTGATTGCAATGATAATGTGCGAGTCATTTGTAACTGTATTTGTAACTGTGTATGTAAGCCCGCACACTCGCAAAAAGCGACGACACCTTACACGAACCGCCAGTACCTTTTTTGATGGAACAAACTGTCGAAACGTATACTAGCACATAGTACAACTAGACCGAAAGAGAGTAGAAAATAAGGAGAAGTTCCAGGAAAACAGTAGCTTTCAATCTTACGAGTTGTAGCGTGGTTGATCCATATTGGCTCACAAACGAAGTGACGGTACATTTTACTGCAGGTAGCACATTGCAGGGATACAGCTGGAAAACGATGTAATGTCATACTCCGATATGTCTGCAAGGTCGCGCCTTTAAAGAATAACAGTCGATTTCTGTTATACATTCAGCAAGAGGTCTGTTGATGTTAAGACATAGCACTTACGTGATTTAACTAAATAATCAAAAATAAAATTTGTGTGGACGTGTTTCCGTGATGGTATAGCACAGCACGCTCTGCACATAAAGAGCTTTAGTAAGTGTTCCATGAAAGAGCTTACCTAGATATCATCTTCAACAAAGAGGCATGTGTAGGCTCTTCTCCAAAATCGAGAGGATGTCTGGTGAAATTGGAATAGGTTCCGAGCAATTTATATACCACCTCTATAGCAACATCTTGCACAGCTAATTTGGCATTAACATTATGTGTATGATTTGATTACTTGAACTGAGCTTCGTACTGACTTAAGGTTTCCAGCTGAGCACTGCGCAAGAGTATTTGTAAGAGCGCAATGCTTCCTACTAATAGAGAGTTTTTATGGGGATCATCCGATAGAGCAATTTTCGAGTTTACGAATTATCAATCTTACAGTGCAAAAAAATTCTTTGATGTGAATTCGAAGACGGCTAGTCAAATTCGGAGATATCCACATATACCTGAAACTTATCCACCGTAACACAGGTTATGCATTCTCATAGATTTTGTCCACTTAAAGACTGTGCATTCGGTAAAATCTTGTCATACTTTTCTCGTAATGTCATTCTGTTCGTGTGCATGTGCGCTCTGATAAGATTCCGTTAGAATCCGCAGTCTTCAAATTTTGGACAAAGTTCATGACAATGCGATATTGAGTTCATAACCTGGCGAACAGTGCAGAAAGAGGTTGGTTCAACGCCGTTGACGCAGATTTCATACGGAAAATTACTTCTGATAAGCTACCACATGCGCACACAGACTTCGTTCGCGCTCATTGAACATTTTGCAGCCGGGAATCCCTTTTCAAGTCTCGCAGAAACTCCAGAATCGTTGGAAAATAGTGAAACCGCTCTAGAATTGATTCGGATAGTTTCTCAGTACAACAAGCACTTCCACAAGATACAATTTCTTGGCTTAAAATGGATTAACACCACGGACATTGTCAGTCCCGCAGTGTTTATGAGTATGAGAGGTAGAGATTTTGCGCTAAATATACGAGATAGCAATGAACATGTGTTTGCTTCATAAAACTTTATTCCGTTTCTCTACTTCTTGTCATGAACGTTTCTTCCGTTGCTACTTGTTTTATTTATAACAAATTGAACTTCATTATTATCCTCTTGTATTCAAATTTAGAAACTAGTCTGTTGAGCTCTTGCTTCGTTTCCATCATGTACAGATTTGAACGATCAGCTTCCAATCAGCAAAAAAAAAGCAGCAAAAAGAAGTTCTGCTGACCAAGATGTCTCATCAGAGCGAAAGAAAATTAGAGTGTGTTTTTGTAAGCCTTTACTCGTTGGAAAAGCATCATTTTTGGTAACAAGAAAAAAGCATTACTTCGTGACATGCTCATCAAAAACCACAATGTCAGTTGTTGAAAGCTGATGGCTCTTTAGCAAAAGCGTTTTTTCTTCAACTTCAGAATTGTTGATCCAAGAAGCATAGGTTCTTATGATGGTTTTTATTCGCATCTCTGCTCTATAAACATAAAAGAACGAACGCAATCAGGCATTCGCATCAAGCTGTTCAAATGCAAACATTTATTCACTTTAGAAGGACTCTCCTGGAAGCAGAAAACTTGAATCCGTCGGAGAAGAGATTGCAAAAGCAATGACAGTGTCATCGGATCCATGTGAACGTCCGCAAGCACAATTGCAGATTTGCTCCATGTTGTTTGTAGGTCACTACTTTCAGAGCCGGAAGAAAGCACTTATGCTCCACTGCGACCTATAGAAAATGAGCAAGCTTCATTAATCGGGCAGCAGGATGGTTCAGGTTTGAAGAGGATGATTTCATTGAAGCGATCAAAACCAGACATTCTAGAGGCCATTCGGGGCTTTATTCAAATTCGTTACTACAGACTGCATGACGGCCATCTCATTGCCCCAAGGTGATTATTGCATCAAAAATAATCACAACCATCAAAAATAATCACAATCTTACATTTTTATTACAGAAAAGCAAGGAAGGAGGAATCGGCTTCACTCGCGAAGACAAGAACATGATGACCAAAGCAGAATGGAAATGCGCGACTTCCTTTTGAAATGTTCACCCTCGTTGCATATCTTTTTCTGTAATGCAATTTTCCGGCTTCTTTTGAGCCGTTTTTTGATGTTTTTCTGCCCTTCTTTGAACCGTTTCTTTAATGTATTTGGTGCAAGGCAAACGATGATATTATGCTATGATTTCTAAAATAAAACATATACTAAGCCTAGTGCGTATTATATTTCATCTTCAAATGTATTGAACCCGAAGAAAAAGAAAGTATGATAAAGGAAGGGAAGTAAGGAAGTAAGGAAAAATGAAATCCTGAGAAAGAACCAACGGAGTGGTTGGCATTCTCCGGAACTTCCGCAGGGCCTCATTTCGGAACTTCCGCAGCACGTTTACGGAACTTCCGCAAACGCTCTGCGGAAGTTTCGGTGATTTGTCTGAGAAAGTCAAATCTTGCCCTTTCATTAGAATCCTTTAACTGCTTTGCAAACCTAAAGTTGTTTTCTAGAATCGGCTCCTCTGAAAACCCAGTTATGCAAAAATTCTTCTGTTGTTGCAACTTAGTTAATTCAGTTAGCAAAGGTGATCGAAGTTCCTAGGGTGGCCCTACCCTTCCTACCCTACTCTAATGAGGAAGAGCGACCAGTGTCCGTCAAGTCGCAGTCAAGTACACTGTCAAGTCAGCTGAAGCCCGCGCTCAAACATGGTACCTAGAGATTGGCCAACATCAGGGCAAGACAAATACGGAGATTCTTGGCCGTTTCTGATAAAATTCAACGTTGCATTACCTAAAATTGCGATTTGTGCTTGATTGAAACTTTTGCTTGCTACGACATTTATCATTGCGATGCAAATGTCTTTAAATAGCGCGCATACTCTCAAAATAAACTCAAGCGACACCATCTTTTTTTTTT